AGTGAAATCCCGAAGATAATCTTTGACCTTTGCTATCTACAGAGAAAACGCTTCACGTAGGAGTGTGTTTACCATACTAAAGCTAAAACAGTTCCATTATAATGACAAGCATGACATTTCATCAAAATTCTTATGAGATTTATATATGCTGTAGCTCTCCTTCGGATGGAAGTTGGATGTAAAACAAGCATATGTTTCTTGTTACAGTACTGCAAAAAATCCATTGTCTCTGGGTTGACCGATTCAAAATTTAAAGAAATCAGTATGCCATAACAAACGTGATCTTCAGCCATCAAATGTGTTCTTGTATTTCACTATGTATTTAATAAAAGAACTTCAAGTGAAGCACAGGTTTGCTTAAAAGTGATGAAAATTAATTCAAGCTAAAACTGTCATCAAACTGCGGGATTTGCAATATCAATTCAGACTCTCTCTTAATTTGACCGGCATAATTTAGTTGGGCCAAAGATGTTAACTCAAACTACAAAAAGACCTCAGTAATTTATGGAATCTGTATAGGATTTATATCCAAAAAAAATACATTAATGAAGATGAAGGTTTCAAAGTCAAGTTAGGAAATGCAAGATGTTGGAAATGGAAATGGCACAAGGAAATGCACTGTTGCCTTGTGCATTATGATATGACTTTAAATTGCAGGTTTGCATTTTTCCCAGTAGAAACCCCTCTCTCATTCAGGAACTCTTTTCAATCCTCTTCAGTGCATGGCTCAGCCTTGCTTTCTGCACTCCATACAGGCCACAGATCTATCAGCTTCTTTACAAGTATTTCTGCACTTACCATCAGAGCAGTAAGAGTTGTGAGGTCTTTTTCAAATCTGTGAGAATCCCAGCAAGATTTGCTCCTAGTACCACCACCTGTAGTATCCATTGCATGCATGGATGAATATCAACACTTTAACCTAGTATTTTCAGAACAGATCTACTGAACCTAGACATAGATGCAATAGTGAGTTTCTGTGAACCAAGGGTCTTGCTCAGTGTTACAGAAGAACGCTCTGACAGCAGCAGAAGGAAAACCCAGTTCTCCAGACCAGAATGCTCTTCTCTTCATCATCTGACTATCTCTTCACCTCTAGCAATTTGACCCCCTTTACTGTTATCAATCTTTTCCTTAAAATGAGGCAATTTTGCAGATAGCAAGCTCATGGCTGCACAATCCTGGATCATTCACAGAGGAGAACACAGCCTGCACAAGGAATATGGCAAGATCCCACAGAGCACTGCACAGGTGGGATGGAAGCATTACAAGGAAATTACCAATTAGAAAACCCCTAATTTTTGCAAGCCTATTCCTTCCCATCCCAGATACTTTTAAGGATAAACGCAAGGATTCAAAAATGGGAATCACGCTGACCCTCCAACTTTTCACCAGGAGGATTCAGATCTTTCATACAAGAAAACTCCTGTTTCTCCTAGCTAGAAGGAGCTAGATTAATGCTAGTAGTTCAGTGAGCACAGAGGGGAACACCAGAGGGTGAAATATGAAATGTCTTCCAAGTTATTCATCTATTAGCCAGTAGCACAAGCATCCAAATCTCACATCACATAATCTAGATAAAAGTTTACAGCCTCTAACACAAAGCTGCTACAGCTCCTGGTTCCCAGGCAACAGATATCCCTATCTTACACCCACCTCCTTCCTCTCTTTCTCACTATTTTTAGATTCTCCTAAACATCTCAAAGGATACACACCCATCACTGCCAAAAATGACAAATGACATTTTCCTTACTAATATCATTCTAAGACACAACTAAACAGCATTCATTGAACTTTTTTAAAATACTTCAATGGGAGAGTACTCCACATTATGGCAATTAAAATTAAAAATGGTCAACCCAAGCCAGAAACATCTGAAAACACATCTAAATGAAAGCTGTCAAACAACCTCAGCGAACTGGCAAGCTCTTAACATGGCTTCCTTTTCTCTCTCCTCCCCTAGAACTGCTATAAAGATCACTTGGAAAGATTCTTTTATTAACTTCTACTACTCACCTCTGACTCTTAAAGTTAAATTTGAATGTAAAGAGGTCAGTGATTTCAGGTGTGTTAGGCCAACTGGAGCATGGCAGCTTTGCACTCCACTTGAAGGTCACCCTATATTGAAGTGCCTAATGCCAACAAAACCTTTTTCTCTACACCAAGTAATTTTTGAGAGACTTTGAACCACATTAATCTTCATCCAAACGTATGGTCAAACAAGCAGATGCTGTCTTTCTACATAATCCTAGCTTTTGTAGAAGTTTGACCAGCTATGCCTTTCAAGTGCTAGTTCCATTAGATAATTAAGTCTTCTAATACTATTCTAACAGATAATTAAATACTTCCAATGCCATTAGAAAAAATAAGTATTCTAATAATTCCATAAACAGAAGTGTGAAACTTCAGGCCCTATTTGTCCCTTGTAAGAAAATTAGAAAGTTCGCAAAAATACATCATATTATGTATGCTCCAATCATAAGATTTTACTAGAGGAAAGGAAAGAAACCTCACATTCTTAATATAACTCCCCACAGACTTTTAAGGCATATCAGTGATGCAGATATTTTTGCAGCATTTTGTTCTACTGCATCAGGCTGTGAAATTTGGAAATAAATATTTCACCCAGGGATCACTGTAGCCATCCTACAGATGTAAGCAACTAAGGCAAGCAGATGAAGGTTAATAACAGAGTGATGAGCAAAGCTAAAAGACAGTTTCCATTCTAACTTCTAATCCAGTATTGTATTTATCTGGTCACACCAATTCAGAACTACAGACATGGTTTGCTCCATGTTTTTTTCTAAACTGCTCTAGCTTTTGGCCAATGGATTCTTGCATTTGGCAGACAAGAATGCATAACGAAGAAGAAAAGCAAGCCTTGGGACTATCAGACAAGATTGTGTGCTTCACACAGAGGGCTATAAAATATGCTTTGAATTCTGCATGTAATACCAAAATCTGTCTCAAACACTACCATTAAACTATGGAAGACTAAGCACAAGGTCTTCAGCCAGCAAGGGCTGGTATTTTCCAGATACAACTGAATTTCTTCTATTTTTAAGCAGAGCCTGAATTCCATGTGTACCTGTAATGTCATTAAGCCTGGTAGTTTAAAATACTTTATAACAATCATTGTAAACAACAGCATGCTCTAGGCCATGAAAAAAAATATACGGGAAATTAATTATTCTGTTGAAAGTACATTAGCGTACCACTTTTAGCCTTATAAAGGATAAAAAGTCTCAAGAAGCTGAAGTGAGACAGTCATTATGGTTCCTATGAAAATAGTCTTTTAAGGACTGACAGTGTCTATGGTATAAAAAGCTAGTGAAACTTCCTGATTTTGTAATTAAAGAATAATTTATATTTTCCATTATTGTAATATGTATGGGCTTAGATGCACAGAACATTACATTCTGCTGTCTCATAATGCCATTAACATCAAGCACTGATCCAGTATTGTTGTCTCCAGGGAGGAATGAAGGGATGAAGGAAATAAGCAACCCCTTTTAATATAACAGCGCAACTAGCACCAAGAGCCTTGCGCGTTTCTTACCTAACCCTACAACTGCAGAAAACAGCTGTACTATGAAAAGAGTAAGAATCAAAAAGCTGGAAAGAAGACTGCATACCACTAAGCTAATATGTAATGTATATGCTCATAGAAAAGATCTGAACATTAGCTTGTCAACATCTACAAAGAACTCTTCCAAGTAGATTTTATACTTTGACATGTTTATTTTAGTTGGATGAACAGATTGAGTGAACAAGCTGAAACAGTATTTCTCAGCCTCACATTTGCCTCCCTGTAGACGTCTATAACCAAATGTTTAAAAATATCAGAAATATATGGGTATTTGCATGAAGTAGTTCAATAGTTATTTCTTGTTCCATGCTTCTCTCTCAAGTCTTTCACGTATTACTTCTTTTAGGTACGGTTCAAGATAATGCTTATCCTGAAAAAGAAGAGAATGTATTTAAACATATAGGGAGGTCCAGAAACATCTCAAGCCATTCCTACAAATTATTTGTCTCTCATTTTTCCTCAGATTTGACTAAAACCCAACCTAACAAGGAAAAAAAAAAAAAAATCAAATCAAAGATTACTTACTCTGAAACAGTAAACTTCGTAACTGCCAAGTCTGCAATGACAAGTTCTTTACTAATTCCTAATGCCTCACCAACATTAACAAGCAAAGTAATGTTTCCAGCTATACCTTTAGAAACAATGTGCTTTTGGCAGATACCCATTAAATGTACAAGATCCACTTTCATTAGTTCAAAGTCCAACTATAGTACTGTGGAGAAATTAATTTTGAACTTAACTTCTAAACAGCACTGTAAACTTGGATTGCAATGGAACACCTTGACCGTGTTTAGCACAAACCAAACTGCCGCTTAAGGAACTACGCAACCATTTATTCAATGCAGCAGTTACCTAAATATGACCAAGATGACCACAAGAAAGAGCCTCTGCTTATATAGAGAAACATAATACCCTTATACTATCCTATAATCAAAAGTTTAGTGACAAGATTCCTCTCTGCCTCGTAATTTGGAGAAAGCTGAGATGGACAGTAATGCAAAGTCTGTGAATCAATCCACTGGAAAAAAAAAAATTAGTATGTTTGAAAAGGGAGGTGTATTTTGTTTTTCAAATTACAAGATGATGCTTATTTTAATGCAGGTTTTCCCTTTACACTATTCTTCCTTGGCATCTTCATGAATAAAAGCTTTGGCTCGAGATTTGCTATAAAAATAAGAAATTAATCAGAAAAGCAAGAGACCTTCTATGAGAATTATCAAGCTAGTTACAGTGTATTTCTTTATCCGAGAGCTTAGAAGTATTTTGTCTGAATACAATGTGCTATGGCTCTGAGCTGTAGCTTAAGCTTTTGTCATCTTGAGAAAAACTTTGTGATTTCCACTGAAAAATAGAGATTTTAAACATCAATCAAAAGCTGTGTTTTCCAGAGGTACCCTATCAGATACACACTAATTTACTCATTATAAAGAACATGTAATTGTGTATTTCTTCAGAGACTGAAAATCCCAAAGACCAGTCACAGCAGTCCTATTTAAGACCTCCACCTTGGAAACACTCTGTACACATACCTCTTCATACTTCACCCATTGGTCTTTTGGAAGGATCTGATGTTTCAGGCTTAAGTCAAGCGCTCTCTTTATGCGAAATATTCTTTCATTGTAAAGATGTTCTGGAAGTCTCTTCAGTGCTTCTTTTACATCATCATCTTCATACAATGTATCATCTCGCATTAATCCTGTAAAAAGATTTTACAGTATCACTGAATAAATGTTCTTAAGTAAGATTTAGGATTGACAAGGGTGTTTCTACGTAACATGGGCAAAACACTTCCAATGCAAAATTATGAAGAAAACCCAAACCAATCCAGAAGAGATCCACTAACTGCTCACAGAGAACAAACTCTCAACACTGGCTTTCACACACTCTATTTACTTATTTTTACTCCTTTTCTTAAGGAGGAAGAGGGGAAAAAGGGTATTTAAGTCAAAGTGTTTCGTAAGAGTGTGTATATATATATACCCACAGAACAATAACTATTCTGAATATGAGGGGTGGACTTATGCTCATCTAATTTTATATCCATATTTAAGATGACTGTCTAGGTAAAGGGTTTAAGAGCTGTGAATCCATTAGAGTCAGTCAACCACAGATGCGACTACTGCAGTACCGAAACTCCACCATGCATAATGACTAGATCTCCATTGACTATATTAAGCTATGGAAAGCTGAAGCTAGATGCTTATGTGTGAGTTGGTTCCTTCCCACACTGCCCCAAATCAGAAGTTAAACCAGGGAGAAGTACCTATAGTCTTCTCAAAGCCAAGAACACCCCCACACTGTTTCTGAAACAAAGGATTCCTGAAATTCAACCAACTCTACTTTAAGTTTCAGTATTAACGACACAGGACAAAATGTTACTTCTGTAACATTCCAAGACTGATATAGATTACAAGAGTGTACCTACTGACTTGTCATTAAAGATTTTGATCTCATGTGACTGAGCCAGCAGTAGGCTCCCAATAAAACAGAGATTTGAGTCACATATTCTTGAATTCAGTTTTGTAATTTATTGCAGAGGCACAGCGAGCACGGGTGCTAGCTTCATCACTAGATTAAATCTGGTGTTTCTCCTCAGTTTTTAGTCGCATTCCCAGAAAAGTGGCAAAAAGTATTAATGCCTTTAAGAACTTCAGCATATAGATACAAAAAGAGGGACTAAGCACTGAATCTGAAGGAAAGACCTAAGCTCTACAGTTGTCTTGCATTTTTTTTTTTTTCTAACTTCCCCAGGGCACGTATGTTAGCTTCCTTTAAATTATTTGCTCATATTGTGGCCAGCAGTAAATTACAGCCTCTGAATATTCAGATTCTCTTGTCATTCAAGAACAACTCTGCCATCTAAATAGTTGAAACAAACTTAGTAACAACTCTGAACAAATTGAAGCCAACAGCATCAAGGCAACTTCCTCTACTTAAGCAAACACTATTTTTAGACCTATGTCACCATTGCACAGGCCAGAGAGACACCAAGTGAAGTTACAATGATACAAAGGGCAGAACTAATTAAATCCTTTTTTGTGCCTTGGATGCTTTGCATAAGCATCACAGGCAGACTGACTGCTATCAGTGGGAAACTCTCCACCTTCAAGGGCAGCCTTTGGGTTAGAAGACACTGGCCAGTGAAAGTGACTTGGTGGGAAAAGATAAATAATCAAGCCTTCAGGACTGATTTGTGCAAGTTTTTTCAACTGCTCCAGCTTAGCCTTAGCTGTTATTTCACTGAATACAAGAGCAAACACAGAAATAACAGAAAAGTCACTGATTCATTACAAGGTAGCAATCATGATGACTGAAGCTATTGCTAATTTTTTTCCGCGCAAAAGCGGTAGCTAATTTTGATCAAAAAGACTTATGCCAAACTGCACATACACACACCAGTTATAAACCATAACAAGCTTGAGGGTTGTTACATTTGAAACACTTACCAAGTTTGTTGAATCCAGCTGCATTATAATACCACTTGCGAATCCTGTCTAACAGGCGACCACCTCCTGCAACTGAATGTGACCATCATAAATGGCAGAGCAAGACAAAATTCAACATTTACACACTACTATGACAATACACAAATATTTGCTGGCCTCTTTCATGTGCAGTAATGCAACACTACATCAAGTTGGAATTTGAACATATATGACTTCGCCCCTCTGCTTTTCAGTATCCCTTAACTGACTTTGAACAGATGGAATAAGTGCTTATTACGTACAATAATTTGAGCTCTGTTACACTAAATTTGAATATTAGACTGCCTTAAGACTTGTAACAATGCTAGCAGTTCATTGTCAAAGACAGCACCAACACTTTTAGGCTCCATAACTCTTACGTGAGCTAAAAACATAATGCTCTACATAAAGTAAAACCATCATGCTTTTCAAACCATTTGCTTAAGTTCCACAACTCTCACTATGGGTTAATGTGATTTCAAGGCCATCATAGTATTACGTCATTAACCTTCTGCTCTCCTCTTCAGTTACTTAAATACTATTCCAGAGCTTCCTTTGTCAAAGAGCTGCCAAAGGCAATCAGAAAGTAAACACTGAAACCTCAAAAAAAGTCATTGACTTTAAAAAGAAAAAATAAAACACACCACACATAGAATGTTCATCTTTCCTTAACTGTGATTCTGAATAGCAAAGGCATTTTTACATGTAATCAAGTATAATGCAGTACCAAATACCACTAAAGTAACTCAACAAGAGGTCAGGAAATCCAGAAACAGCACAATATGGGCAATGCAGCCAGGGCAGGCTATCTATCTTTCATGGCTTTAAGTCAGTTGTCTTACTAAGTCACCCCACTGAACCAGTGCTACGTGTGATATCAGCATGCCATTAGCACACTACCTCATCAGGCCTTAATCCTTCGTACTTTAGGACTTGAGAAATAATAACATCAGACCAACTAAGCCTGGAGCCATTACCCGGGTCGGACAGCGATCCCCGAGGTCCCTCCGGAGCAGCCCAAGGGCTCCTCCACTGTTCCCGAGCACCCTCTGCCCCACTGCTCCTGGAAAACCTCAGCATCGGAGCCAGGTTCCCTCCGCTGAGGCCCAGACCGAGGGGCT